CAATCTAACTCCCACCTTAGAATTCTATGCGATTTGCATAAGTCTGTTCAATTTAGGTTTCCCAACAACTCTAATAATAAAGATATTTTTCCAATTATAGAAGCAAATATGTAGAATCCCTAGAACAAAGTAACCATAATGTTAACCTAGAGCTCTTAGATATTGACAAAAATGATGTCCGAAACACCGTAAACGCAATATCACATGGTTTAACACACCCTTTAGCAGTAAAGTCAAAAGTAACATCGGAAGATTTTTCCTGACTTGAATACATAAGGATTTCAGTCATTCCCCAAAGCTAAAATGATTTTCAATAAAAACACTGTTAAATTTAGTTACATTTGCGCTAAAAACATTCACCAATATATATCACAGCAAAACATCGCTATACTAAACAAGAACTTATTCAAACTAAATACACACTACAATTATAGAATTTAACTGCTGAAAAAACAAGACCTAACCGTTGAACTGCAAGTGCATGACTAAACACATAATTTTTACAACTACCATCGAACATGATAGCAAGGTTAAATTCTATTTTGGTTCAACTGAAAACCATTGGAAAACACGTCTCTGCCGTCATATTACGCCATATTAAATATATTAACAGCACTGCTGACTCTAAAGTTTTCTGAAAGAAATTAAAAAAAACTGTATAGAAAACCAACTATTACCTGGGATTATATAACAAAAGCCAAACTCTTCAGCGGAAAAGGCGATAAATGTAGTTTATATCTTTCAGAAAAACTAATGATTTTAAAACATACAGATAACTTCAATTTGTTAAACAAAAGAATTGAGTTAATCATCACATGCATACATAGAAACAAATACCTAATCAAGCACGTTGATCCAGATTAATATAGTTCTCTCACATTCGGACGCCACACATATTAGTATTGTTACTATATTTACTATATTATTAATATCGATATTGTTAATATTCTTATTATTACATTACTAATGATATCATATTTTTATTATTATTATAGCCTATAATTCATATTAATATTATCTATTATTATCTTATTATTATTATTATTATTATTATTATTATTATTATTATTATTATTCTATCACTACGTATCTATTTTTTTTATTATTTTTTTTTATCATTACATAGCTATTACTTTTTAAGAAAAAAAATTACCCGCCTTGACACTTAACGTATTTTTCTACCAGGGTTCTTAGGTGGTCATTTTAGAAACATAATTTAGATTTTTTTTTAATTTTGAGTTTAAGTGGGAACCTAAATTAAAATTTAGATTATAGTGCAATTAAATATTTAACACTAGTAATAATTCACACCACAAAGCCGCGAGACACAGAAATATTACCCAGACTCCTAACAGTTCTTTTATACCTGATGATTGCATAGTGCAGAAAACTCCGTGTTGAACTGGTTGTGTAATGAACTGTTTTTACTTGCACCAAAGGATATATATATATATATATATATATATATATATATATATATATATATATATATATCAAAGAAACATAGAAGTAAACACTGACGATTGTGTCTAGCATGAAACAGACTGTCGCCTCTAAGTGTTGACTTCTATGTTCACTTTGTATTTACACACGCTCTATCTCTGATAATGAGCACTTTATCCCATAAATATAGCACATCTTAAGACTATATTTCTTTATATATATATATATATATATATATATATATATATATATATTTGTATGTGAACACTTACACGTACATTTATTTATATTTATTTATTTGATTATATATATATATATATATATATATATATATATATATATATATATATGCGCGCATATGCATACACAGAGTGAGGGAAACAAATATTCGTACATATACAAATTTTTAATTTTGGTATTTCAACTAATGAATAAAGATATTTTTCATATGATTAACTGTACCCAGATGCATAATAACTAAATATGCATAGGAAACAGAAAAAAAAAAGACATAATTTAATAGAAACAAATCTCATTTATCCTTTTCAATGTGTGAAAAATTATTTGTACAATGCAAATTTCAGCTTTTGAATTGATTAATACTCTATATTATTCAAGTGGAATATTCTAGAATATTTCGATAATGTTATCAGTAGTTATATTTAGCCTCAAAACACAAACAGAACATTCTGTAACTAATATTCTTGCCAGGAGGTTTTCATCATGGCAAGAGGTAAATAACTAACAAATTCGCAGAAAGAACCGATTGGATTGCTAAGCTCTGGAAAGAAGGTAAAAGTTATAGGAAAACAGACAACCTGAATATTCCATTTACTACCATTATTTCCTTCACCGCAATGTATAAAACTTTCAAAACTTTTGAAAAATCAAAAATGAACAGGTGCTCCACGGAAGATTCCTTCAAGATCTTCGAGGAAATGAATGCGTTAAATAAAAACGAAATCCAATGGTTACTCGTCAAATGTTGCAGATGATTTTTTTTCATGAGAAATGTCTGTTACAATAAGCAGTGAAATTCATAGGAAGAATCTAAAGT